TAGGCGAAAGGCACAGTAAAAGGTCCCCGTGTGTCTGCTCCTCACTCTCCCACTCTTCCTCCAGAATAGAACAGGTTATTTTATCCGATCTCCGATGCAATACATTAAAAGCTGCCTCCAAACTTGTCTTTGTGATTATTTTATGTTTGCTGGGAAGAAACAGAAGAACATCAGTATTAAATATTGACGTGATAGAGAGTAAAGAAGGACAGATCAGTGAAAAATATCAGAATAAGTCATACTTCTTTTAAAGGTATATAAAACCTACCACTGGTAAATGACTGCAGTGTCTGATTGTAAACTGGAGGACAGGCCTGGTTCCTCTAGTTCCTCAGGTCCAACTGCATTGTCATCCTGCCTTTTAAAGCTTTCATCAATAAGTTTTCTTGCAGCCTAGTAAACAAATAATATACACTGTTTATTTGAAAATAGTAGAGTATCAATCTAATGTCAGCGTTGTGCTGCTCTGAAGATCACAGCTCCCATTAGTGAAATTGATGCATTACCTATGAGTACCTTAATGTTAGGCATATCTACCATTTAATTTGTCTGAATATGATCTGCACTGAAATCAGCACTGCGTAGAATAACACAAAAACAACAACACAACATTATTCTGTAGCCTGATAACTGTCAGTATACTTTGTCTCCATTTTAGTGGAGAAATTGTGGAGTCCCACCACAGTTAATATTACATATGTCAAACTCTTTTCTCTAAACAGTTAAATTGCCATATATGGTGGCCTGGATTAGGCAATATGCCCTGGATCTTGCTAAACATATACAAATTAAATATACCAGCCAAATATAAATTCAGAACGTAAAACAGCACATAGTCGGGTATTCCACCCCAACACAGCTCACCAGAAACAATGTCACTCAGCGAAATAGAAAACAATGACAACATACCATGTGCATAAAAGGAACCCCAAATGGGCACAGCCTCTGACAAAACGCCAACATCTCTTGTCTGAACTGGTTGAATTTGATTTGCTCAAAGATGTCATGTGTTTTACACTTCTGACTGATGATGTCCAAAAGTATGGCTTTCTGGAGCACAAAAAACAGATAAACTCTGGGAGTATTGTGCACAAAGAATTGCTTAACAACAATCAAGAATCATAGATACTGTATATACACTTATACGTGCACACACGTCTAAATAGATTCCCTTAATTTGCAGGGTTAGTGTCACCAAACTCACCTTACCCACGTTTGGACCAGGAAAGTGTTTAGTTAGTATCTGTTTTGCTTTTTCAAACCAGCAGTTTTTTATAAAAATCACCACGATCTATAATCAAAAAGAATACACTGTTAAAAGTATATTATTCAAATACATAAAACTTTACATGTAAAAATGAATATACATGTTAGACTTTTTTTTTAATTGAAAAAAAAAAACAATTGTTTACCATCTCGTAGATAGACATGCAAGCTTTGTCAAAATCCTGTTGTGGTACACTGTATTCCTGGCATATGCTTTCCAGCAGCATTAAGGCTTTTTTCAGATGAGCTGTAGACTGGTTTGGCACCAATGACAAATCTATAGACAAAGGATGGTAATCAAACCATAACCCAAATGATTATTTATCTAACACAGTGCGTAGAATGTACTTTTTAACAGTACTGTATGATGTTTTTGCACACAAAAAAAAGTTACCAAATATTTGTCTCACCAAATTTTGCACCCTCAAATATGCAGTAGAGAAACTCAACAACTTGAATCTTCAGCATGGTTTGGCAAGCCAGCACAAAACGATCCTGGATACCTGAAAAAAAAGCAATTTTAGAAATGAAATGAATCCAAACATGACTCTGCTTTCATTTACGTGGTCATTAGGAAAAAACATCCCCAGAATTTTCTCAAAAATAAATCAGATTATTTAACAACACAGACAAATAAATATTAATGTTTTCTTGTTCTGATCTGACGCCGAGTAGAAAGTGAGAAGAGTTGACGATGCTTCACGGATAAAAATACAAATTACTAAGTCAAATCGACAGATTGTTGTAAATAAACAGCAAGGATTCGGAGAGTTAATGTTTGGATTTGTTTGGGTTAGGCTACGAAAATCAGGTTATCTCTTTGCAAAGAGAAAAAAAAACTAAAGATGGTTGAGAGACGTGATGATTAACGTGAACGGTTTGAATGGAAAAAGGGGCAAAGGGATAATATATCCAAACCAAAATGATATTTTACCAAAATATAAAATACCTCTCGTTTTACGTAATTGGTAATAACACTCGCAGTGATTATTCGAAGCTAACTATAGAGATATAGTTATCTCTATGTGTGATATGCACATTAGCTAACAGAGCAAATTGAAAACAAAGCCTACAAAGAGCAAAAGTTTACAGTAACTCACAGTCGAGTACATGTTTAATGCTGCAAAACTCCTCGTATTGCTCTTCTGTTAACGACTCCAGAGCCAGAGATGCATAATGGTCCACTATCCAGCGGTTAATGATGGTCTTCATGGCATTTTGTCGACATTCTGTGCTATGAAGAGAAGTTTTCTTTGCCGCCATATTTACGTTCTGTCAACGGAAACAGAAAGAACCTGACGTTTTTCTGGAGAGGTCGAGCATCTATTCCCTGAGTTTAGCTTTTCAGACTGATCTTAACGCACAGGCACGATGATTGTACACATATACAAATGAATTGTTCGAAATATGTATATCTGTATTAAATATTGAAAATATATAACCAAATATAAGGAGAAAATGTTTTTATTAACTTATGGCCGTTCTGCCTGTAAGTCTAAACCCAAGGCGTAATGTACTGTAGAGCTTCACAAAATGAAGATGAAGTGTTTTACCTCCACCTACTGGACAAAAGTGAACAACGCGGTCCCGCAGAAGTTGGATGCTGTTACATATTTTAGAATATACTGTATATTTACAGTTAACGCAATTGACCTGGATAGAATTTATAACATCAAATTATGTTTTGCCTTTAGACGTATTTTTTATTCCACGTGTAGACTTCACACAATACCGTTCAAAGATACGTTTTCCTGATTAAAATGCTTTAAGTAAAAAGTTATACACTAATGAAAAAATGTTTTTAATAAAAATAGCTATTAGTTTATGCTTTTGTACAGATATACAAATTTCTAAGTAGTTTTTAATTTTATCGTAGTAGTTATGTCCAGTCAATCACAGGAAATTAATGGATGCGCGCACACGCACACATAATACAGTAACATAAAAGTTTGTGGGTTTTCTGTCTAAAGCCGTCTAAAGTCTCCATTTTACTTGCATGAACGTATAAATCATACATTGTTATGTAACAATAGACAGTAGTCTCTTGCGTAACGACCATAACCCCGCCTCTTTTCCATTGACCAGGCGCATGCGCGCTGTCACCGCACCTTCCGCCATTGAGGGACCCACGATC